ATGTCCAGTTTATAAAGCAACAGTTAAACAGTTCAGGCAAGAGTAGCTTCTTGCCCAAATGGCTGGTCTTGCCATGTCAAAGTCAAACTCTATAACGAGTTTCTTGGATGCCCATCTTCCTCTCAGTTTTATAATTGGTGTGCCAGGAGCAGTTGTGTCTCACTCTCAAGAAAAACCCTAAACCAATTAAATGTCATTTTTCCATAGGTCTTTGAATGGTACAAAGAATATCTATATATCTAGAAAACCTAACAAATATCAACAAATGAGGATTCATTCCAATACAAAGTATCATTTCTATATCATATTCCTCCTTTTTTCCTTTTAAAAGTGATTGACTGTGACCACTACCATTTCTAATTGACCAAATTTAAGTGCAAACAAATATTTGGATCACCTGGGCCACTGCTTCAGGGGGTCCTGCCCCATGAAACCATACCACTCTGGAAGGAATCCACAGCTCTTCACACTCCATGGAAAAAAAAGCAGAAATTTCCCTCCCAAGTAACCTGTACTTTAACAACTGTTGCTCCTTCCCCAGCAATTAAACATTCAAAGACAACACAATAGTAACAATCACACATTTATGATCATACTTCATACACACATGCGTGGCCACACCATACATACATAACATACATACATCTTTTGAACAAAAGTCACAAAGGAGAGGAGGTGTCAGGGATGGCCATCCTTACCATAGCTTGGCATCTTTGGATGGTCTTGAGGACTGCCGCATCTTTGTCCATTCCTGTATGGTCTTTTGTAGGACCTGGGTGTTTTCTTTATCTATTTGGTCATATTCTCCTTTCTCATCCGATGAGACAGATGATGTGGATGGCTTGCGATGAGGGCTCTGGGAGACTGGCTGAACGTCCAGGGCTATGTAATTCACATTGCCAGTACTCTTTTTGGAGCTAGGTTATTAGTGCCACTGGGTACAGGGGATGAAGACTTTGGGTTCTGCATAGGGACTTAGTTCTCATCACTGTCTCTGGAGTCTATGTTGGTGATGCTTTGTGTGGAGATGGAACGGAAGTACTGAGAGAAGCTGGAGTTAAAGGTGTGGTTGACTGAGGACCAATACTTGGTGACAGGTGACTTGAAAGGAAGCCCATTGATGACAGTATTGTTTCTCAGGTGAAGGGTTGTTGGTGCAAGTGTTGATCACTGGTGGACAAGGCTTGACACAGGGGGCTGGCTAGAGTGTGAAGGAGATAAGGACTTTATTGCTCGGAGCAGGTGTTGACTGGAGCTGCTGAACTCAGCTGGAGAAGAACAGAGACTATGACTGACCAAAGAAAGGTTTTTCTGGGTGTCGGTGCTCTCTTTAGTCTGACGGAAGCCGCAGATCAGTCAGATGCTCTGGACCCACCTATTAATGTCAGCCTCTGTCTCAGCCACAAGATAGAAGGTGAGCTCATTGGACTTGATATCCTGCCGGGGTTTCTTGGAGTGTTCATTCTTGTAGTAGTCAGAACATCTGGGTCACCATTCATTTGACCTCTCCGCAGAATAAACCAGCATTTCTTCCAAGCATAGTGCCCCAACTTTTTCTCAGGAGGTGATTTCTCCAGCCAGTCTGTGCATAACACATCATTGCCGGCTGACTGGAGCCCACAGCAGGCTCAAGTGGACAAGAGCATGGGCTGCTGGGTCAGTTGGCAGCTGGTGCACAGCTCAAGGGGGAGGGATTCCTCAGTGGAGGATTTCCCGTATTTCTTTAATAATTTTCCTAGCATTATTACTTAATCCAAAGTTAAAATGAAATCTTACCACTACCTTGTCTCTTTAAACTTTCTCTGTGTGATTGACTGTGATCTCTATTCCAATCCAACTCTCTTAGGAGTTGAGGCACCCCCTTTTCCAGTGCCTTTACATCCAACTCTCTCAGGAGTACTATTTTCTAGTACCTTTTGCAATCCACCCTCACAACTCCTTACTTTCCAGCCTTCTGGGGATGATCTCTCAGGGTCCACTTTCTTTCCCGATCTCGGTGAAATCTCCATTTGT